TTGAAACTTGCACTTCATTCGACTAAAATTAAATGGTCTACAAACCTACATACTCGAAAATTTCTTAGAAATTCTGAATAAAAAGTTGAAAAATTTAAAGAAATTTGGAATTTTTGTGAACTTTATATAGGGTGTGAAACTTTGATTTATATGGTTTAAATTATAGAATGAACTATATTTTCATAAATAATTAATGCAAAAAAATTTTCTTGGAAATAATTGCACTTTCATTTGTCGCCTGGTGTAACTTAAGTCTTTCTTTTATAGAAGTTCTATCTCAATCCTAAGTTAGTTACCCTTGCCAGACTAAATTCGGTAGCCCATTCGACTTATCATTTTAAATATATACATATGTATGTACATACATATATCTAATTCTAACAAATTTCTTTCAGCCCGCTAAGGGTGCGGCTAGTGGTGATGTGAAAGATGATGATGGTCCCTCGTCTAAAAAACATGCCGTTGACAAAAAACTTCAAGATAAGAAAAAAGAGAAACTAATTAAGGAGAAGAAGCGCATGTTGAAGCGGTTATGAGGCGGTGGATGCAAACGGAATGAGCCTATCCTGCAGGCTGTAACACTTCAAGTCACCTTCGCGTTCAATTCTTAAAGAAAATTAAAATACATAAATGCAAACTAAGCCAAAACATCAAAAAATCAAGTGGCAAGTGCAAAAGCAGCAGCAGTTATAATTATCAGTAAAAACAAATATTAAATTAACTATAACCCAGAAAAGTATTGAAAAGAGGTGTATATGAAAAGACGGGCAGCAGCACTCTCAATAAATACCCATCAATAACCATAACAAGAAACTCCCTCCACACATAATATAAAGCAATCTCTGAAAAACCACGGTCTTTATTGGAAAATCTCGCAAAATGCTAATGTACAATGCTTCAATTTATAACTTCAGCTTTAAATGCAAATGCATTTTATTTTATATTCTTCTCTAGCACATCATACGTTAAATGGATTAATTATAAGGCAATTGGCGTTTTATTACTTGAATTTACTTAAATTTGGATTCGATACCTTTGACATCACAAGGAATTTTCCTTACTTAAGTCATCTTCGATGTCTTTACTTTTTCTCTGAGTTTCTCCTTTACCAAATTAGTCAAAATAGTGTAATTGTTTTAAAAAAGCAAATTAAAAACGTAATACTAAGTTTTATTTTAGCATTAATTTACGTAATATTTGTATTGTTCTTAATTGCCTACCTATAAACTCAAAAGAGAAACTAAACCAAAACTAACTTAATGCTTATGCGCACTATGATACATGCACACACCTCTATGAAGAAAAAAAAAAAAACAATTCAATAGTAATATAATTTTGAGCGCATTGCATAAGAAGGGAACGCGCGCTTACTTAAATACATAAATACATGCACAGGTGTTTACATACTTAGAATTGCAAACAAAAATATTGTGCATATAAGTATGTATGTAATACTGTGTGGACAGAAATGAGTACACGGTGATTTTTTTTTTAATATTTGCAAGGTTTTTAAAAAAAGTTAAATTTTTTTTGTTATTTTTTCACAAAAATGTGGTTTATGCTTTAATCAAAACCATATAAATCAAACTTTAAAACTTTATACATAGCTTATAAAAAATTAACAAATTTTCATTAAAATTTCAGCTTTCTAATCAGATATTTTCGAGTATGTTGTTTGGTAGCCGAAAATCGTGTTGATTTTAAATACTTCGTTTTTTTCTGACTGGCTTTGATTTTTTTTTTATTTTCTTTGGAAATGGTCTAGCGCATTTTCTTCCATAACGAATTCATGCTTGTATGGACAAAAGTGCAAAAAGTAGTCAGCAAAAAAAAAAAATAAAAATAATAAAAATCAGCGCGATTTTGCAGTCGCTTAAAACTTGTACAATTTAATGTAAAACTTGTAAAATTTAATGGGCTACGAAACTGCATACTCAAAAAAAAATCACAATAAAAAATGAACATTTATTAATGAAAGTTTGTTAAATTTTTCAAAACTCCTAATGAAGTTTTAAAGTTTAATTTATATGGTTTTTGTTAAAACATAAATCATATTTTTATCAAAAAAATAAAAATAAAAATAAAAAATAAATAACAAATTTGTACTTCAAAACTCTTGCAAATATTTAACAAAAATCACCGTGTGCTCGTATCTGCTCGACCCACTATATGTGGTTTGTCTGTACGCTTGTACGATCGTTTCTTTGCAGCACATGGCGTATTTGCATTCGAATTGCTTCGCTTCACATTTCATTTAATATTATATTGCTATTTTTTGTATATACATATGTATGTACAACTGGTACTCGCCACAAATCGCCATCAAAAACACCCACATACATACCTATTGAAAGCATTCGTCGTTGGTTATACATATTATAGATACTTACATATATGCCTACTACTACTTATTACTAGATATTACTGATGAAGAAATATAAAAGCAAAAGAATCACCAAACAAACACCTTTCCGTGTACCAATTTAGCGTGTAGTATTCAGAAATAAAGAAGCAATTGTAAAAAAAACTTCAAAATGCCAACCACATTGTTCTTATAATTTCGATTTGATGGTCATTGAGAATGCTGGAATTTGTTACATGTCACAGTCTGCGGTGGATGCAGGAAGTAGCGACAATACATTTGCTCGCCTTTAATGAGTTTCTTCTAAAGTATGTGGGCGTGTAGAAGAACCTCATTTACAAGTTGATAAAATGAATTTTATAATTTTATTGCTTTTTTGTATGTGTAAAAGTTTTTAAGTTAGTTAGTGAAACGTGCGCTTAATGTCCGAGTTGTTTCACTTGCTTTATTTGAACCCTCATCGGGACGAATTGGTTCTTGTGTATACGCTCGTACACAAACAGATCTGCAACTTTTTATCAGATTTTTTAGAACAATTCTAAGTATGTAGTTTTATAGCCCATTCATTTTTGATATAACAAAGTGCAAGTTTGAAGTTGCTAGAAAATTGCGTTGATTTTTAGCGATTTTTTAGCAATGTAACTGTAACTTTACGCGCTGCATTAGTTCTCAAATATGTTAATTGTCTTTGTTGTAATCGTCGCGTCACAGCAGATCAACTCCAAAGTCAACATGGACTATTTCCTCTATAATGTACATATGCACAAATGCACATACATATATGTATGTAGGAACAAAGCATACTATATACCAGGGTTGTTGCGAATATTTGCATTCGCATTCGCAACCGCGGAGCTTCCGCATTAATTTTAGCATTCGCAGCGCATTGTCGGCCGCTGTGGTGTAGTGGTAAGCAGTGCGCGCTTCCACTCCACAATGCCTGGGTTCAAACCCTGGTCAAAGCAACATCGCAAAAATATAGAAAAAAGGTTTTTTCTTAACAGCGGTCGTCCCTCGGCAGGCAATGGCAAACCTCCGAGTGTATTTCTGCCATGAAAAACAGCTTCTCATAAAAATACAATCGCCGTTCGGAGTCGGCGTAAAACTGTAGGTCCCTCCGCTTTGTGTGACAACATCAAGGCGCACGCCACAAATCGGAGGAGGAGCTCGGCCAAACACTAACATATGTGTAAGCGCCAATCTATTATATTATTATTATTATTCGCAAAAATCAATGCGGATCTTTTGCGAATGCGAATATTGGAAGGACCGAAAATTAATATTTTTTATTCCCAAATAAAAGCCCTTTCCGGATAATAAATTATCCAAATTAAATAAGTTTGGCATCAAATGAAAGAAGACTTAAATAGCTTTAAAACTGAAATGTCTAAACGAGGAAAGCCACATATTGAAAAATATTTCAATAACAATTTTTAATTAATTACCTTTGGTCAATTATGTATATGGATTTCTTTAGTATTAAATTATAAAAAAAAAAATTTAAATAGTGGTGGTAACCTTCGTTCGTTATTTCTGTTTAAAAGCTCTTTCATATGATACCAAATTTTTTAAATTTGGATGAGCGGTTTCCTTATTATCCGGATAGGACGTTTATTTCGGAATAAAAAAATATTAGCCCAAGTTTAACTCGTAAAAAATAACCGTTATTTTCGGCCCCTGGAATATTGTGCAAGTGCACTGATAAAACCACTATCTAACCACTCTTATAAGAAAGTATTAGAAATTAATTATAAAAACTTAAATCGAAAAACGCTGATGATGGAAAACAACGGTGTTTAAACAACGATCGTGCCATGATGCTAGATTCTGATGAAATTCAGGAGGATGCATCCGACATTTGCAGCCCCGATGCAATTCTCAGAAATGAATTATTGCACCGCAATAAAAATAAATAAATATAACTGAAAGTCCTCTCAACTGGTGCAGCATCAATCGAGATGAATTTACAATTTTGTCAGGTTTCAAGTTTTTCAAGTTTGTCGCCTCGAGCGAGTAGTTATATAGTGGCGCAGGTTTTTATTAAATACAATGTTCCAATTTTTAAATTCAAGTAATAAAAAAACATTAAAAATTACTAACCTTTCCATTTTTTATTTACCCAAATCATCTAATTTACCCACCTAAATTATTTCTTAAAAATACATGACAACCGCATTCGCATCCGCATCCGCGGATGTCTTAAATTCCACATTCGCAACATCCCTACAATATACTACGTAAGTTTCGTAATAATTATTGAGCTGGTTTCAAGCAAAAAAAAAAAGCAAACCTTTTGTTCAATGTGGGTTTACTTTTATTGTTAATTTTTTATTTTTTTAATGTAGGCACACGAAAAACCAACAACCACAACACTTGACTTGCAACACCGTCATCATATCACTCAACGACTGTGTTGGACGGACACTCGTCATATGTTAATGCCTACTATGCACCTCCTGTGTTGGGGTGTGTGTGCGTGGCGCGCATTCTGCAGTGGATTATAAACGTTATTTTGTACTTTTTACATAGGTTTGTACATACATAGAAGTAGTGGTGGCAGTAGTATGTGCAAATTGACTCGCGCTAAATTTATGCTGTGCAAAATCGAATGGCTTACAAATGTTCTGTGTCATGTTAACGAAGCAGGCTGTTAAGGTGAGAAGGAAGTAACTACAATGCGAATATGTCGACATCTATATAAGTACACATTAGCACATAATTACATATGTACATATCTTTTCATGTATATATTTATGTACATAAAAACGTTAGGATTTTAGATATTTATTTTGCGATAATACTTAAATAAGATTACAAATAAAACATGTCTCACATGAAGAATAAACCGCAGTATTCACATACAAGTACAAAAATGCTTGCTTTTGAAAACAATACTCTGTATATGGGCCATTCCTTTGTGACAGCTGGGACAGTTTACTCCAGAACGTGATCAATTGTGAATTATAACTATGTCGTCGGCACATATAGGCTGCATTTCTTTATTCATTCTGAACGTTTGGAATAAACTTTTTTGTTTACTTATTCCTTAGAACGTTCCTGATTATATGTTGACGTATATTTCAAACGCATTCTGTTTATTCCGGCTGTGAAATGGGATTATCCGGAATGTATAAAGAAACGCAGCCAAAGGCGTTTTTCGTTTGACATCCATTTAGTAATTAGTCTGTTCCAATACGAATTCGGTTTACAGCATTTAGTCAGAACTTACATGTAGCTACTTTGATAAAAGCAAAAATTTTTTATTGAACCATTTATTTAGTTGTTCAAATTATTTTTGCTTTTGTCAGCTATTGCCAAATGTAAATAAATAAGCAAACTTCACAGCTCTCCCTAAACATCTACATATGTACCTTAATTTCTTATAAGATTTACTGCAAGCAAAAATTCAAAATCACCAATCAATGAACGGAAGAAAGCAACAGAAAAGGTGAAATTATAATTCAGGTTCTTTCAAGATCAACTTTAATGGCCAAACATACTTACATACTTACATATTTATATATAGTACTGCCAATCAAGAAGCCAACCTACATCCATACATTCATACTTACATACTCAGATACAATATAAATGAGTAATTATTCAACATTGCGTTGCGCTCACACAAAATAGTCGAAATCTTTTCAACTTTGCTTTTATAATAATTTTCGCTCCTTGATTTGCCATATTTGAAAAACTTGCTGCCAAAGTGAAGATCAACACTCAAAAGCACTGGTGTAGTCGAGTATTTCACAATCGTAGGGGATAAGCTGGCGCTCTATGAGCTCTTCTATGACATATTTAATTGCTGTGGAAAGGTGCTCTCTTTTAAAATAAATATTTTTTCCTAAACGTCGATTTCTGTGCCCGTCGAAAAATAATACTTTAAAATAAAATTTGCTGTAAAAAAAAACAATCTGAAAAACTGCGAGGTCTACGAATTTCTTGCAAA